ATCACAGAGCGAGAGACAAGAAAGGCAAGGCTCACCAAGCCATCCATCTCTCCGCCCCTCAGTCAATCCCACCTGCGTTTATCAGCCAGGCTGGCACAATAAACTGTCTCAGGAACTCACAGAAGGTTGCTACCAGTGAGCATTGACTCGATGGCAGCGAGTTTTTGGTTTGGTCTTTAATAGCTTCTTCTCTTTTTATTTCTTTCATGGAAATTTTGACGTGCGTGCGCGTGCATGCGTGTGTGTGTGTGTGTGTGTGTGTGTGTGTGTGTGTGTAGAGAGGGCAGCCCTGATATATATAATTTATTTTTCTATTGTACTCTCTTTTTTATTTTAATTACTCATTTGGGGGCTCTAACAGCTCTTATAACAATGAATTGTATCAAGCATATTTGTACATTTTCTAAACATGTACTTCCCTTGGTATCCGCTCCTTTTTTTTTTAATCATTTTATTAGGGGCTCATACAACTCTTACCACAATCCATACATACATCAATTGTGTGACGCACATTTGTACATTCATTGCCCTCATCATTCCCAACTCTTGTCCCAATCCATACATCAATTGTATCAAGCATCTCTCTACATATGTTGCCATTATTCTTTTCTAGACATTTACTTTCTTTTTTTATTATTATTATTATTTTATTGGGGGCTCATACAATTCTCATCACAATCCATACATACATCCATTGTGTCAAGCACGTATATACATTCGCTGCCCTTATCATTCTCAAAACATTTGCCCTCTACCTTAATATCAGTTGCTCATTCCCGCCCCCCACCCAGCTCCTCTTTTTTCCCTCAGATTGTCTCTTTTTAGATTTTGAATCCAATTCAGGATCATCCAGTGTGTCTTATAATCATGTCTCTCTAAGCTCTACTCTGAAACACTTCCTAGCCTTTGCCTTTTTAAAGCCCGTTATGTGGTCGAATGGCTCTCGCTGTGATGCTTTTGTCTGATGTTGCCTTGTGATGGGATTCGGAATGTGTGGTTCGGGCAGAAATTCTGCATCAGTGAAATTGCGCCCGGAGTTCTCAGTGAGTCTCATCAGTAGGGCGTGATACTGGCCTCTCCCTTGGTGGGTGATGTTAACTTGGGTGTCTGGATTTAAGGTGGCGTCCACGGAAAAGCTGCTGTTTTCCTTTTGTAACAACGAAGCCGCTGGTGGGCACAAAGATAGGACGATGGTGAGGGTGGCACCAGCATTTCACTCTGTGATACTTCAGGTCCCTGTGAGGGGGCACCGGCTCCACGGCGCCTCCCAACCAGAACAAGCCATCAGTGGAGAGGGACTTGGAGACCTTATAAATAGCACATGTCTTCCTCCATCCTCACACAGCCCCGGGAGCTAGACACTTCCATGATGCTATCCCGGATGGGTAGATCGAGGCTCAGAGAGGTCTCATAACTAGCCCTCGCTTGGCTGACAGTGGCAGAGTTGCGTTCTGAGCTCTGGACTGCAGCTGCTTGGGACTGTCACACCTTCCTGAGTAATGACCCAAGTGCTGGCGCCCTGGCAGGTGCTGATCGGAAGCCAGCTTCCCCACCCATTTGGGCTGACTCTCTACGGAGAGCGCATTTATTGGACTGACTGGCAGACCAAGAGCATACAGAGTGCCGACCGGCTGACGGGGCTGGACCGGGAGACCCTGCAGGAGAACTTGGAGAACCTGATGGACATCCATGTCTTCCACCGCCGGCGGCCCCCAGGTCAGCAGCTTTCCAGTGGCCCTGGCCTCTCATGGACCTCTCCCCCTGCCCTGGGGAAGGTCTCTCATTGACTCCTCGCCCACTTCCTACCTAGTGTCCACACCCTGTGTGCTGGAGAATGGTGGCTGCAGCCACCTGTGTCTTCGATCCCCAAATCCCAGCGGCTTCAGCTGTACCTGCCCCACGGGCATCAACCTGCAGTCTGATGGCAAGACCTGTTCACCAGGTGGGTCCAAGGATCCCAGAGCTGGCTGCAACCTTGATGGGAAGAGAAAGGGCTCTCCTCTTCAAGAGATGAGTTCTCGGGTTGTCCAAGAAACTCTGTAGGTCCTGGTCCATTGAGAGGCTTCAGAGAGAGACTGCGAGCTTATAGGAAAGTGGGGAGGCCCAAGGGCGCAGGTGGGCAGGGTCACAGGCATTAGTCCTCATGGTGGCTTTGTGCCCGTTGGGAAAAGGTGCTCCTTTTTCATGACATTCTATTTGTATCCGGTGGGGAACGGTCCAGATACATTGACTCGGCGAGAAGCAGACCCTTTCCTCTGCCAGGTGCCCTAAAGCTGTCCTCCAGTGACCGCCCTCCCTCCTCTGTCCGCCGTGCAGGTATGAACAGTTTCCTCATCTTCGCCAGGAGAATAGACATCCGCATGGTCTCCCTGGACATCCCTTATTTCGCCGACGTGGTGGTTCCCATCAACGTTACCATGAAGAACACCATTGCTGTTGGAGTGGATCCCCAGGAAGGTCGGTGCGGCCCACCCCTCCCACCTGCCCCACAGCAACCACGGTCCTTCATTCTCTCCCACCTGTGCCCTCGGCTAAGAGCTGACAGGTTCCATTGCTCTCTGGCTCAGCCTCTGCCCCATCTCTAAAGCCCCTTCTCTCTGGTCGGGAAGGCTTCCCTCTGGGCCCTTCAGCTCCATGTCTCCCAGGAGAACTCCTGCTATCGTATTTCTGCACGTCCCTGATCTCCTCCACTGGGGAGGATACTAGGCTCCCTGACACGCCCTGCGAGCTCAGGGCCTGAGGCAGTGATTAGTATCCCTTTGGGGACATGAGCGTCCAGGCTGAGCCTAGCCTTCCCTCTCCAGGAAAAGTGTACTGGTCTGACAGCACGCTACACAGGATCAGCCGCGCCACCCTGGATGGCTCTCAGCATGAGGACATCATCACCACAGGTGGGGTGCCCTTGTGACCCGGGGAACGCCTGTCTGGCTCCAGAGCTGAGAAACGGCCCCTGTGTTTTAAGCCCGGAGCAAATGAGCTCTCTTGATTTCCCGCAGGGCTACAGACCACCGATGGACTCGCAGTGGATGCCATTGGCCGGAAAGTCTACTGGACAGACACGGGCACCAACCGGATTGAAGTGGGCAACCTGGACGGGTCCATGCGTAAAGTGTTGGTGTGGCAGAACCTGGACAGCCCCCGGGCCATTGTTCTGTACCATGAGATGGGGTGAGAGCTGGGGCCCTGGGCAACAGGATAAGAAGAAGGGTGGGCCTTCGGAGAGCAAGCAAGCTTAGCGACGCACCTGAGCGAGGCCCTAGTAACTCCCTGTGCCCTACTAACTTCTTTCAAGGCAGCAGTACAGGGTCGAGATGGAAAGAACGGCTTGGACTTCCTGCCGCGTGCACTCTCCGCCCCATGTTGGGCCCAGATCCTCCCTGTCTTATTGTGGGTGTGGTCATTGCCACTGCCTGCTGCCCTTGAGTTGGTTCTGACCCATCCCACCACCACCACCAATTGCCCTGTGTGGCAGAATCTAACCATCCACGGGGTTTCCTGGGCTGTGATCTTGTTGGAAGTGGGTCTCCAGGCTGTGGGCAGCCCCGTGCTCCACCATTGCACCTCCAAAACCCCATTGCCATGGAGCGGAGACCCGTGTTCAGCTCACAGAAATCCTAGAGGACAGAGCAGAACCCCACCCCCCCACCCCATCCCCAAGGCCGCCATCTGCGGGGATCAGGCTGCCACGTGGTTTTCCTGTGGTGTGACTGCTGGCTTCAAACTGCCAACCTTCTAGTAGCAGCTGAGCTCTGAACCACTGTGCCCCAGGGCTCCTTTCGTGCATGCTGGGACGGGTACATAGAACCGAGCCGTTTTGACACGTAGAATTCAAGGACTGGTTCATGATCATCATGTGTGATGGCAACCCCCTCCCACCGCTGTTCTTTTCCAAATGAATTGGCCACCTCCAGAAACTCAGTGCCCAACAGGAATGAATCCCCCGTTCCTCCCTCACCCACCCCAGTTAACCACCAAGGATCTCTACTTTCTGTCTATTTGCCTATCCCCGATACGTGGAACCATGCAATATTTGTCCCGAGGTGGCTGACCGGTGTGGCATCACCTTCCCAAGGCTTCGTCCTGTGGTAGCACATAGCAAGACTTGGTTCCGCCTGGTGGTTGCGTGGGGGTGTCCCCACTTCACAGTGGGCTATACACAGTGGACCACATCTTGTCAATGGTTTCATCAGTGGATGAACCTGTAGGGTGTTTCCATCTGTGGGCACTCGGACTGACCTATGGGCCCCATTTTGGTTTTTTTAAAATCATTTTATTAGGGGCTCATACAACTCTTATCACAATCCATACATACATCAATTGTGTAAAGCACGTTTGTACATTCATTGCCCTCATTGTTCTCAAAACATTAGCTCTCCACTTAAGCCGCTGGCATCAGCTCCTCATTTTTCCCCCTCCCTCCCTGCTCCCTCTTCCCCTCATGAACCCTTCATAATGATAATTTATAAATGATTTTGTCATATCTTACACTGTCTGACGTCTCCCTTCACCCACTTTTCTGTTGTCCGTCCCCCAGGGAGGAGGTTATATGTAGATCCTTGTAATCGGTTCCCCCTTTCCACCCCACCCACCCTCTACCCTCCTGGTATCACCACTCTCACCACTGGTCCTGAAGGGATCATCCACCCTGGATTCCCAGTGTTTCCAGTTTCCTATCTGTACCAGTGTACATCCTCTGGTCTAACCAGATTTGTAAGGTAGAATTGGGATCATGATGGTGGGGGGCGGGGGGTGGGGAAGCATTTAGGAACTAGAAGAAAGTTGTATGTTTCATCATTGCTACATCGTACCCTGACTGGCTCGTCTCCTCCGCGCGACCCTTCCATAAGCGGATGTCTGATGGCCTACAGATGGGCTTTGGGTCTCCACTACGCACTCCCCCTCATTCACAATGATATGATTTTTTGTTCTGATGATGCCTGATACCTGATCCGTTCGACCATTTTGGGTTTTGTTTTTAATTTTTAATTATTTTATTGGGAGCGCTTAGAGATTTCATAACATTCCATATCACATCAAGCAGTATTGGGCAATTGCTACCATCATCAGTTTCAAAACATTTTCTTTCTTCTTGAACTTGATATGAACTCCCCTTTATCCCTTCCCTCCCTCCCCTCCCCCAGGAATCCTTTTCTTTTCTTTCCCTATAATAGATTTTTTGGCCATATCTTACACAATCCAATATGTCCATTCACGTACAAGTCTGTTGTTCGGTCTCATCCAGTGGGGTTATACAGCCATCAGTGCTGTCAGCTCTCTATCCCCACCCCCTTCCGTACCCTCAGGGAACCATTACTCCTCTTGCTGTTTCTGAAGGGTTGTCTATCTTGACTTTCACGTACTGAACAATTTTAAATAAACAGGTGGACATACGCAAATAGGACATGCTTAATGAGGTGAAACAAATAAAAGTCATAATAGTAAGGAGAGGAAGTATTAAAGAACGAGAGAATAGTTACATGGCTCATCAGGGCCATACAGCACCCTGGATTTATCATCCTTCTCTGAGGGACTGTCCCATGATCTTACAGGTGGGTTTTGGATCTCCACTACATGCACGTCCCTTCACAGCGATTTGGTTGGTTGTTGTTGAACTTAGGGTACCTCTTCTTGTCGATACTTCAGGATCACACAGGCTGGTGTGCTTCTTCCATGTGGGTTTTGTTGCTTTCCTGCTAGATGGCTGCTTGTTTAACTACAAGCCTTTAAAGCCCCAGACACTATATCTTGTAATAGCCAGGGGGCCCCGTTTTTAACCCCTCCCTTACCCAGCAGTGAAAGGGCATACTTTTTGACCCTTGGGAAGACTCGTTGAGATAATATGAGTAAGGTTCCTCTGCACAGTGTTCTGCGCCCTGTGAGTGCTCATGGCATATGGAGTCAACTGTACTCACTGCTACCGAGGCCACTCTAATTCAAAGTGACCCAATAGGACAGAATCTAACTGCTCCTGTGGGGTTCTGAAGCTGTACATCCTTGTGGGAGCAGAATGCCGCGTCTCTCATGCAGAGCGGATATAACCAGATTCTCTCCCATCCAGGTTCATGTACTGGACAGACTGGGGCGAGAATGCCAAGTTAGAGCGGTCTGGAATGGATGGCTCTGACCGTACCGTGCTCATCAACAACAACTTAGGCTGGCCCAATGGACTCACCGTGGACAAGGCCGGCTCCCAGCTGCTGTGGGCTGATGCCCACACCGAGGTGAGCACCCTGCCACTGATGCTCCCTGGAAGCCTAGGAAGATGGCAGAGGTCTGTCCATCTGGAGAGGTGCTCTCCAGAGGGGCTCCTGGACCACTTGTAACCAACCCTCACACTTTCCTTCCCCTGCAGCGAATTGAGGCTGCTGACCTGAATGGTGCCAACCGGCACACGCTGGTGTCACCCGTGCAGCACCCGTATGGCCTCACCCTGCTCGGCTCTTACATCTACTGGACCGACTGGCAGACGCGCAGCATCCACCGGGCCAACAAGAGTACCGGCAGCAACGTCATCCTGGTGAGGTCCAACCTGCCGGGCCTCATGGATATCCAGGCTGTGGACCGAGCACAGTCACCAGGTGAGAAGACCCCCTCTGGCTGAGCTGCAAAGGCATCTGGCTTTCTGGGGATGTCCCAACTTCAGGGCTATACAGAGACCACCATGGGATCCAGCTGGTACTACAACTGTGTGATGTTGTCCCTTTTAAAGGATTCCTGGGGATACATCTGTGGCTGCTCCTCATCCCTGCCTCAGGAACATGCAATAAGGACCTTTGTCAAATTTCCCAGTGCTCTTGGCTGGGTGTCAACGCTTTTGCCATTCTCTTTCAATCACCAGGTTTTAACAAGTGCGGCCTGCAGAATGGTGGCTGCTCCCACCTCTGCTTGCCTCGGCCTTCTGGCTTCTCCTGCGCCTGCCCCACTGGCATCCAGCTCAAGGGAGACGGCGAGACGTGTGACCCCTCCCCTGAGACCTACCTGCTCTTCTCCAGCCGCGGCTCCATCCGGCGCATCTCCCTGGATACCAGCGACCACACAGATGTGCACGTCCCTGTCCCTGAACTCAACAATGTCATCTCCCTGGACTATGACAGTGTGGATGGGAAGGTCTACTATACAGATGTCTTCCTGGATGTTATTAGGTACCTCGAAAACTTCCAGAAGATGTGTGGAGTTATATAGTCTGTAGGGAACCTCTAAATGAACGTGGGTGTGGTTGTTGTCATTAGGTGCCCGTGTTAGTCCAGGTTGACTAGAGAAACAAATCCAGAGACACTGATACGTGTGTTAGAGAGAACTTTATATTGAAGAGTAATTGTATATTAAGAAAGCAGCCCAGCCCAGTCCAGTTCAAGTCAATAAGTCCGACATTAGCCCATATGTCTGATACTAGTCTATAAATTCCTCTTTAGACTCATACAACACATGCAATAATGCCAAATGCAGGAAGATCACAAGCCATTGGGTGGAAGTCTTGTGAATCCAGTGGTGGTGGAAGCATCTCAGTACTGGCGTGGGTCTCCACGTGGCTCCTCCAGCTCCAGGTCTCTGGCTCCATCAGTGTAGCTCCATGTGGCTTGTCAACAGGAATGTCTCGCAGAGAGAGTATGTCTGGCCCCCAGTGATCTATTTATCTCTGTCGCACCTACCGATGAGGTCATCAACCTGCGACCTGATTGACAGTCTAGACTCCACCCCTTCGCAAGTTGATAGGAGATTATGTAACTGCCACAGTGCCAATGAGTCAGATCTGACTCATTGTGTACAACAACATGAAACACTGCCCAGCCCTGTACCATTTTTACAGTCATTCCTACGTGACAGCCCATTGTTGCTGCCATGGTCGGGCTGTCTCATTGAGGGGCTTCCTCTCTGCTTTGCTGAGCATGATGGACTTGGGCAGTGAGATCTAATCCTGACTGGATTCATGTTGTAGTGTTATCACTTAGAGCTGAGTATATATATATGGAGGTGGGGCTAGTTTGGTTACAGTTAGAACGTAGAAGCCCAGTATATTAAAAATGCCAAATAAACAAAATAGATCAAATCAGACTAGAGACTTCTAGCTTTCCACCCATCCCGGGCCCTGTGGGGGGCTCCATGGGTCCTGTAGAGCATGCTAAGGACTGGGTCTTGTAGCTCAACCCTATATCTGGAGTGCAATGTAAGAACCCTGGCCAGTGATAGTGGGGGTCCACAGGTGTTTGAACATTTGTATTCTTGACAGCTGAGGACTCTGACCAGTGAGGAAGGTCCCCCATGGTAGAGAGAGTCTCCCATGGCAGAGACCCCCGGGAGCATTGCCCTTTGTCCTCCCCGAAGTGTGTTGCAGGGAGAGGACCTAAGTCATTTAGAGAAGCCCTCCCTTCCAAGGTTGAGGTCCCTGGCTTGGGGCCGCTAACCAGGCACAGGTAGGTTTTGATAAAGTGGTCTTGCTGCTGATCACCGTGCAGCAAACCCGTCTCCTCCCAACATGGTGCGGGGTGTGATGAACCTATCTTCCGGGAGGAGATGGGCCCAAGGCAACGCCCATCGATTTGCAGTCTGCAGGAGAGCTTCTCTCCTCTTAAGAAGTAATGGGAATTCCTGGGTGACACAAATGGTTAAGGGCTTGACCATGCACCCAAAGGTTCATGGGTGATTTCACGCAGTGGTACCTGGGAATAGCTCTCAACCTTGAACACCTGGGCATCACAGGGGGCTCACCGAAAGTTGGGCTCAACTCTATGACAACTAACAAGGACCATTCTTCCATTAATTCTGCAAACGCTCCATTGAGCAGCTACCACACTAGATGTGAGGATTCTACTAATGGATAGTTGGTCCTGTTTCTTCTAGAGCTTAGTCTGATGGAGGGCCAGTTACAGGGATGGGGATAAACTGAGTTTCGGTGTGTCCCCGGTCCATCTGGTCACTTGTGGAACCCTGGGTTATCCCCCAAGGCGAGCAGACCTGAATGGCAGCAACATGGAGACAGTGATCGGGCGTGGACTGAAGACCACTGATGGGTTGGCAGTGGACTGGGTGGCCCGGAACCTCTACTGGACAGATACGGGCCGGAATACCATCGAGGCATCGAGATTGGATGGCTCCAGTCGCAAAGTACTGGTCAACACCAGCCTGGATGAACCCCGAGCCATCGCCGTTTTCCCCAGGAAAGGGTGAGTCCTTGCTGGCTGACATAAGATCCAGGGAGGAGGGGCCTGCTGAGAAAGAAGGGGTTTATGTCGTCATGATGTGGGTGGGAGCCCTGTATTCTCTCCGCCGCTGGGTGCCATCTTCCATGGCCTTGGTGATGGTGACTCTGTTGTTCTTCAGGTACCTCTTCTGGACGGACTGGGGCCACATTGCCAAAATCGAGCGGGCTAACCTGGATGGCTCTGAGCGGAAGGTCCTCATCAGTACTGACCTGGGTTGGCCCAACGGCCTGACCTTGGACTATGATACCCGCAGGTGGGAACCCTGCCCCAGAGAGCCTCTGGGGCATCGAGTGGGCAGAGGAGAGGAAGGTTGTGAGGCGAGTAGGGCAAATGAGCATGAGAGTCCGTTTCTTTGTCGGTAGGAATGAGAAAGTGGGGAGCAAGATGATGACTTGGTTCCCACCTACAGCCCTCATCCCTGAAATAGGTTTTATTTCACTGGTTTAAATGCCTTTAAGCTAACTGCTTTTAGCAAAGAGGGTCTTCTGACCACGCCGCAGTCAGAGCCCCCCACACCTCCCCATGCCCCTCCCCCACCTGACTGAGCTAATTCTTCGTATGCATTACCTTGCTAGTCCCTTCAGGTATTGAAAGGCGAAATGCCTACTCTAGAGGCAAGGAACCCTGGTGGCCTAGTGGCTAGGAGGTAAGCTGCTAACTGCAGGGTCAGCAGTTTGAAACAACCAGCCGCTCCATGGGAGAAAGACAGGACTCACAAGGGCCAGTTTTACCCTGTCCTATAGGCTTACTCTGCATCGGCATCAACCCGGTGCCAGTGAGTTTAGAGAAAAAAAGAAAAAAATCAGAGGGCAGAAGAGAGACTCTGGAACGGTGTGTGTCTCTTTGCCTTCCAGAAGAGGGCAAGAGAGTCAGAGTTACCTGAGGAGTTGGCAGGTGCCTTCTTCCTGGAAGCTCAGAGGAGTCTGTGTAGACCAGGTTCGCTTCATGAAGAATATCTTAATCATTTGGGCCTAGACTCTTCATGAGGAGCCAAAGGGTGATCAAGGTGCGGGGGATGGTGTTTCCTCCAAGGCCCCCAGACTGTCCACTCCTCCCAGAACATCCCTGGTCTACCCACTTGGCAGTCCTTCCCCTCTGGAGCTGACACCGACCTCTCCTCCAGGGGAATCCCTGGCTGCTCACACCTTGTGCCGGTTTGGCTGGGGGAGAGAGGTGGAGGGCGGTCCTTAGGGAAAGGGCCATGGTCTGAGCAGCCAGCCTTGCCTCTGTTCCCTCGCAGGATCTACTGGGTCGATGCCCATCTGGACCGGATCGAGAGCGCCGATCTCAATGGGAAGCTGCGGCAGGTCTTGGTCAGCCGCGTGTCCCACCCCTTTGCCCTGACCCAGGTACTGGCTCGGGAGGGTGGTAATTAGAGCTCCTGGACTGGGGCATGGCTTGGAGTTCGGAGTCAGCATCCTGGGCTCTAGTTGCCACTGGATGGGTGTGCTCTACAAGCGCACGTCAGGGGGCTTGTTGTGCTCTGAAGCCCCTCCTACTCCCCTACTCCCATGCTGCAGCCTTGCAGGTGACTAAGCTGTTAATGCACAGTCAGCTGAGGAGCTTGTGAGGACACAGGTCCCTGGGCCTCCGGCCATAGAGAGTTGGCTTTCTGAGGACTGGGCCCGGTCATAAGCATTTTACCAAGTTCTCCAGTTGGTCCAAATGCTCTGGTCCCAGCATCTGAGCTCAGAGAGGCCCCACAGTGGCAGTAAGGTGACAAAGCTTCAAGCACAAAGAGTTTTAAGGCAGCTGGCCAATCAGTACCTCCCACACGCCAAGGGCCAGGGCTCAAGTTCCTTCCATGCCATTCATTACATAGCTGTGTAACTGTGGGTGACATACTACACCATCTCTAGGCTGAAAAAAACCAACAAACTCACTGTCATCGAGCTGATTCTGACTCGTAGTGACCCCGTGGGGCAGAGTACAGCTGTCCCCTTTGGTTTTTGACACTTTAAATTTTTCTAGGAGCAGACAGCCTCGTCTTTCTCCCGGGGAGCTACTGTTGGGTCATTGACCTTGCAGTTAACAGCTCAATGTGTGGCCCAAGTGTAATAACCTATTCTCACATATTCAAGTGTTCTCTGAATACCCGACATGTGGGTAGTACTCGGTACAAGCTATCTCTAAACAATTCTCTTTTCTTCGCTGTCACTTTTGAGAGCTCACACCTGCAAAATGGTGTGGAAAAAACACAGACGGAAAAGCGGCGGTCTACTGATGCTATAGTCAAAGCAAGGATTCTCAATGATTTTAAAATGTTGTCCCTTTTTGACAAACTTCATCCACTCTGTCCATGTTCTCTGGTAGCCACAGTCTCTATCATCCTCTGCTATCTATAGTCTCCATTATATCATGTCAATTAGATGTTGTCCAGCTTTCCTTAATAATAGGTATCCCTTTCCCCCTTTCATACTGCAAATATAACATCCCTGGATACTGCTGAGTAATCTGTTCCAGTTTCTTAGTTCTCCCTGGAGTTTGCAATGTATACCCTAAGGGCCAGAGGGCCTTCCCAGGGTACCCTGGTTAAGAATCAGGACTACTGCCTTAGGAGTCAGTGGCTCACAGAAGGAACCCAGAGTAATCGAGTCAGAAAAGAGCCCAGAAGCAGGGACCCAGAATGCCCAGTTGCTGCTCTGCTACATTTGGGAACTCATGCATTGATTGAGATGCTCAGCTAACTTACTGAGGACTAAGTGTTAGGGGCTGGAAGTTCACAGAGTAGAAATGAAGCCTTCCCTGACGAACTTAACCTGGGAGGACCTATAGACCCACCGGCTAGTTATATTGTGTTGCACCCCACCTGTCTGTGAGTACAAGGGACAGAACAGCGGGGAAGAAAGGAGAGTGAACGCCAGGTGGGTCTGGGGAGATTTCTCAGAGGAGGGCCTTCCTGGGGACTCAAAAGGTGACTTTGTGGGTGAGAAATGAAGAGGATGTTTCAGCAAAGGGACTCTTGGGTAGTGAGGCATAGAAACTGGACTGGGGTCTGACTGTCAAATAATACTGACTCTTTCGGGGTTTCCCTATTGAGTAGCAGGACAGGTGGATCTACTGGACAGACTGGCAGACCAAGTCGATCCAACGTGTAGACAAGTACTCGGGCCGGAACAAGGAGACCGTGTTGGCAAACGTGGAAGGACTTATGGATATCATCGTGGTTTCCCCTCAACGGCAGACAGGTGGGTGTCCGGCTCCTGAGTCAGCTTCCTGACCGTTCATGGGCTCGGTCACCCCAGGAACGGTTGATGAGCTTGGGCCTCCGATGTGACGCTGTTAGAACTTCTTTTTTGCCCCCTGTGGTTCGACGTCACGTGCTCTACTGTCCCTGAGAGTGGCACAGCCTGGGCTCTGAGATGTGTCCAATGAAGAGCACGGGTCCTGTCCCAGATCCTACCTGTGTGTCCTCTGCCTCCAGGGACCAATGCCTGTGGGGTGAACAATGGCGGTTGCACCCACCTCTGCTTTGCCAAAGCCTCGGACTTCGTGTGTGCCTGTCCCGATGAGCCTGATGGCCGGCCGTGCTCCCTTGGTGAGTGGGACTGAAGACTAGCCAGCCTCTTGGGACACAAGTGCCCTTGGGAGGGTCTTTTAGCAAATAATCCCCCCTTGGAGGCCCTATAGCTGAGTAAGGAGGAACAGTTGAGTTTGAGCTTTGGAATGGACACAAACATGGTGTGAGTCTGGCTGCTGCCAGTGACTCGCCTGGAATTCAGGTCCCCTGCTTCCCTGATCTCTGCTGTGGCCCGTGCACTGCTCTCTTGTCCCGACCTTCGTAGGCCCACTAGCCCATCCAGAGCAATTAATAAGATCCAAATTATCTTTATTCATAGTATCAAGAAGGGTTTTCTGGAGGGTGCCCGGGACCGGAGCGGCTAGTGGTTTGCTGGGTCAATTTCTCCAGGTGCTAGTCTTGGACTATATTAGAGGTTTGGGTTCCAATGACCCATGCCAGTCCTCTTTTCCTCTCCAGTGCCTGGCCTGGTGCCCCCAGCTCCCAGGGCTACCAGCATGAGTGAAAAGAGCCCCGTGCTTCCTAACACGCTACCTACCACCTTACGTTCCTCAACCACTCGGACTCGCACATCTCTGGAGGAGGTGGAAGGAAGGTGAGTCAGTTCAGAACAGAATTGAGGGCCCTTCCATTCAAATGATCACTGTCCCCACGAGCAACAGGTCAGTCGTTCTAGCTGACTAAGACGGACAGATCGGCAATCGATCATACAGGCTAGCCATAGTCTCTACTTCCGGTGATTTTCTTTATAGTTCTGACGACCAGCCTTAAGGATAACTACAGAAATAAATCAATGAAGAAGCTTTCCATCTGTGACATGGCTCCTATGTCACTAGTTTAGTTTCAGTTCTTATCCTGTAGTTCACTTAGAAGCCACTAAGTCATTGAAGTTGTCTTAGTTATCTAGTGTTATTATAAAACAAATTTTTATTTTCTCACAGTTTAGAAGACTAGATGTTCAAATTTAGAATGCTGGCTCTAGGGGAAGGTCCTCTTGTCCGTTCAATATCTCTGGTCCCTGCAGTCTTTGGATATCTGCATATGTCCTGGCTGAACTCTCCCCCTGGGTCTAGGAGGCTCTCAGCACAGGGACCCCGGATCCACAAACTGTACCCACTTGTGGCTTTTCTTTCTTTTTTTGGCTTTTCTTTCTTGGTGGTTGTAAAATCCTTCTCCTCTTAGCTTATTTCTCCCTCCTTTCATTTCTTATAAAATTAAAGATGTAAAAAAAAAACAAAACACAAAAAAAAACAATTAAAGATGTAAGTCAAAAAAAGGGTGGGAATGATTAAGACTCAAGACATAGCCAACCTTTTTTTCTTTTTAACATGTTATTAGGGGCTCATACAACTGTTATCGCAATCCATACATACATCAATTGTGTAAAGCACATTTGTACATCATTCTCAAAACATTTTCTCTCCATTTAAACCCCCGACATTAGGTCCTCGCCAACCTTTTTTTTGAAAACATTTTTATTGAAGGTTCTTACAGCTCTTGTAACAATCCATACATCAGTTATATCAAACACATTTGTACATATGTTGCCATCATTAGTTTTTAGACATTTATTTTCTATTGAGCCCTTAGTGTCAGCTCCTCTTTTTCCCTCCCTCTCCCTATACCCAACCCTGTTACCTGCCTGCTCATTAGCATATAAGGGTTAGGATTTGCAACATAGCCTAAAATGGAGGATAATTATAACAGATCACAAAATGCAAGACAGACACATAATCATGACCTAGCCAAGTTAACACATTTATTTGTGGGGAGAGGGGACACCACAATCAACCCGTAATTTCAGTCTTTAGGCAGTGGCTTTATCATTTGGAGCAAAAAAGATGTTTGTCTTAGTTTCAGACGATAATAGTAGCTAATATTCCAAAGGGAAAAAGATGAGGCTTTCTACTCCTATAAAGACTTACAGTCTAGGAAACCCACAGGGCAGTTCTACTCTATCTTACAGGGTCGCTATGAGGTGGAAGAGATTCCACACCAGTAGGTTTGGTTTGGTTTAAATGTTCAAACCAGAAGCCTTGGAAGCATAATGGGTTACCCATTGGATTGCTAACTGCAAGGTAAGCAGTTCGAAACCACCAGCTGCTCTGTGGGAGAAAAATGAGACTCTCTATTCCCATAAAGAGTAATAATCTTGGAAACCCACAAGAGCGGTTCTAGTCTGTACTGTAGTGTCGCTATGAGTCAACATTGACGGCAGTGAGTTGGCATCTTCAGAACACACATAGATCAGTATTGAACAACCCAGTCCAACGCTGCGCGATTCTCCAATCAAGTGTACGGTTTGGCATTTCCTTAATCAAAGATGCTTTCAATTATAAGAAGCATCCTGCTTTGAGAGATCCCCCATAATTCAGGACTTCCCTGGTATGAGATTGAAGGGGATAAAAATAACTAATCGTCAATCCAGACACCCTTGACTATAAAACACATTCCTATCTCAGAGATATTAAGATGTAGGGGAAAAAACGCACATCTTAAAACTGATTGAATAGAATGTTACATCTAATTTAGAGATATCCTTATAAGGCTTTTCACTTTGCAAAAGAATAATATCGGCCGGCAGCCGTGGGCTTCCCAGGCGCGGCCGTGGTCCCAGCTGCAGCGCACCGCCTCGCTGTCTGGGCCATCCATGGGCAGTGGCGAGGAGCACGATGACGGATTACGGCAAGGGGCAGCGCAACGAGCTGGAGGCTCGGGAGTCCATCGACCCCGACTCCTTCACAGTATCACCAGAAACCCCACCCAGTTTCACCATTACTGTGACATCGGAGGCCGGGGAAAGTAACAAGACTGTCCAGACTACGCTCAAGTTGACGGACAGTGAACAATACCCAGATGATGCTCCGCTTTATGAAATATTCTCACAGGAAAATCTGGCAGAAAATGGTGTTGCAGACATTTTAAAATTACTAGCATTACAAGCAGAAGAAAACCTTGGCATGGTAATGATCTTTAGTATCATCTGTGCAAGAAAAATTAAATGAAATAGTAGATCAAATAAAAAGTAGAAGAGAAGAAGAAAAGAAACAGAAAGAAGCAGAAGAAGCTGAAAAGCAACTATTTCATGGCACTCCTGTTACAATCGAGAATGTCTTAAATTGGAAGGCCAAATTTGATGCAGAGCACTTGGAATTGAAAAAGAAAGGAATGAAAGAGGAGGAGCAAGCAGGAAAAAATTAATTAAGTGGGAAACAACTATTTGAAACAGATCATCGTCTTGACACATCTGATATCCAGTTCTTGGAAGATGCTGGAAGTCGAGTCTTTGTTCCAGGAAATGGATGATTTGGAGCTCGAAGAAGATGAGGACGATCCAGGCTCTCCTCCTGCTGATGCAGAGTGACTCAGCCAACTGAAGGACGGCCCCTCTGCAGAGGTGCGCCGGCCACAGCACCTGTGGCTGTGCCTGAGGGCTGTGCTTTTCCTAAGAAAAACTCGCTTTCAGGAGAATATGCTTTTGATCACGTTCATCACTGAACTTAATAAACTGACTATGAAATTTAAATGTAAAAAAAAAAAAGAAGAAGAATATCTAGAAATCTAGATAGGACTCAAAGAGAAATGAGTACCCATATATAATCACTCTTAATGTTTTGCCATCTATCTGTTGTATTAGGACTGGATTTGTTTTTTCATGGTAATAATACAAGTGTTTTTGAATAAGCAAATGTGGTGAAGAAAGCTGATGGTGCCCGACTATCAAAAGATATAGCGTCTGGGGTCTTAAAAGCTTGAAGGTAAACAAGCGG